CGCCTAAAACAAATCAAAAAGTCAAAATACCCTCCGTACTAGTTCTCTTTGAGAGAAGGCATTCGCAAAGACCAACACCAATCAACCACGGACAAGACAGCTTCCTCTTCCGAGGATTGTTTACAAACAAGCTGATGGCCAGTTTGACTCCCTTGCGTATGCCAGTACGAGCTTACTATCGAAACAAATGAATCAATCGTAAAGAGGATTGTTGCCCTGCCTGCGAAGCAGAACCATCGATTCACAGCTCGAAAGAAATACATCGCGAAAATGAGATTTGATTAAGCAGCGAAGACATGCACAGTCGAGAATCATTATTGAGCATCAATCACGTGGTCGCAAATGTGTAAAAATAACTGAATTGGCGGTACCTGCGGGGCATGCGACATATAAAATTGCTCGGTTTCATCGATATAGGCTCTTTCGAAATTATCCTTGTAGGCAGCCAAGTTATCGTGATTAATCAAGCTCAGCGAAACTTAAAAATGTGCATTTTAAGCCTTTCCTACAGTCAGTCATACTAACAGCATTGCATACGGCTAACTGAAGCCATCCCCGCCCCTTTATTCACAAACAACGTCAAAATCGCCGTTAAAAAGTAAACCTTAGGCTGGAACGCACTAGCCTTGCCGGCGCAATCATGAGTTATTGCTTTACACTTGTGTTGTGCGCTCATAGCGTAAACCATCGCAAATTTTGCAGAAAGGAAAATGAATCATTTTCGCTTAGAAGTCGTTTTTACGCGCTTTTGCATATATGCCAATGCAAAAACGCATGCTGCGATGACTCATGGTGTGCGTATGTGCATGTGTGTATGTGTATGTCTGTCTGTCTGTCTGTCTGTCCAGGTATTTCAACTCGAAAACCATGAAGTTTTGAGGCGAAACAGGCGAAATCTTTGATTTAATCAACTGAAAATGCGGAAAAAGCGTCGTTTTCGTAACAGTCACCGCCACGCCAAAGTAATCGAGAGCAGTTTGCAGCAACATGGGTTGTTGGCAGAACGTACATTAAAAATAAATAACAGCGCACACCAGAACAGCCGGTACGATCATACGTTTTGTGCAATTCA